CTACTCTTTATGGTGATGTTTGCATGCTGCTGCTTCTGATGATGACTTGCCTCCCGTTGATGCTGCCATGCTCCTGCTCTCTGCTACTCTCAATGGTGATGTTTGCATGGTGCTCGTTGCTGCTTCTGATGATGACCTGCCTCCCGTTGATGCTGCCATGCTCCTGCTCTCTGCTACTCTCAATGGTGATGTTTGCATGGTGCTCGTTGCTGCTTCTGATGATGACTTGCCTCCCGTTGATGGATTGTACAGCGGTCGGACTCGCGCAAACTGTGCGTGGCCCTTGCGAAGCAAAAGTTGGTGAAGCCAAAGGCTGTGCCGCCGACAGAATCTATGAGGGAGATTCTGTCTTCGGGCTTGCTCAAGCGAGTGAAGCCAGGAAGCAGGCTGATGGCAGCCGGAGCTGCTGCATGGATTGCTGCTGCTCGCACATTGTCCGCGAAGCGGTTCACCGTGCATCATGTGAAGCACTCACGGTCCCAGTTCGTGAAACGTGTGCCTGCGTGTCAACGTACCCTAGGGACTCAGACCTTGGACAGAGTTTGGGATGTGCTGAAGCGTTACATCACAAGGGAGATCTCTTCCAGGAAGATCAAGGATGGCCGCTTTCATCTTCTTGACTACGTTTACTCCTGCCTCTGGAGAAGAGATTAAGCAAATGCCGCTGCTGCAAGAGCTCGGCAAACTTTGCCGTGACAGCTGAGTCCTGTCTCAGAAGAGGACAGGTGCAATTGCCGCTGTTCCTAAGGCTCGGCAGTCTTTGCACCGTCACAGCTGACTGGGTCTGGAAGAAACGATTTGTGCTGTCAGGATGTAGAAATACCCCCAGCGACCCAATCCCATGCTGAATATAGCCGAAATCCCAAAATTAAGAAATATAATACACCACAACACAACATATCAATAATCTCCAATATAGGTCTTGCACTTTCAACCCACTTTCAGGGCAAAGGTAGACCATGCTGGTGGTGCTCCTTCTGACCGTGAAGACGTTGCCCGTCATGGCCTAAACCCTAAACCCTAAACCCTAAACCCTAAACCCTGCTGACGTTGCTTCGTCTGCATGTGCTCTGGGGGTGTCGTTTAACAGAACCTCGAGTCCTCTGCCTCCAAGACAAACTTTCCCCTGACCCGCTCCAAAGAATGTGTCTGAAAGTGTGGGAAAATATCTAAAAATCGTCGAAAAGTACACACAGTCTCAGAGATTCTGTCACTCTTCCTCTTCGTTTCGACGTACTCCGCATTTTCGGCTGCCAGGTTGAGACAGGCGGTGCAGCAAATGCAGCGAGCGGCCACTCGACCTTGGGTGCAAAAACTGCATGGGGGTTCCGAGTTCAGCTCCAATCTAGCACAATGAGGACCCTGTTGGCGGAAAGGTATGTTTAGGCTGAATCTGTTGCTGAATGCTGGCGAGATGGGCAGGTCTAACATCTGTAGATGTCCTAGTGCCAAAGTTGAGACAAAACACTGGGTTTCAGAGTGTGGGTTGCAGCTCAAGCACCAGGTTTTTTAGGATTTGGTTTTAGGGTTTAGGGTTTAGGATTTCGGGGTTGGGATTCTCTGGAAGACACCATCCGTCCTGATTTCGATAGACACAACCGGAAAAGGACTTCATTCGTGGAGTTTCTTTCCTTATGCCGCTGGGTTTTTTGTCTGGAAAGCACAGAGGTTGGTTGAGGCTTTGGGCTTTGGGCTTCAGGTTTTCCGAGTTTACAGGGGGTGTGTGCTTAAATTATTAAGGGCTCGTTGGCTTGAATCCGGCTGTTGCCCTAAGGGTCCAAAGGACACAATAGTTAGGTACTTAGTTTTTGGATAGTAGTAATGTATCTCACTGTTTGGGGGAGTATACGATTATTAGGTACTTGGACCCTTAGGGTTGAGGTCCGGGCTGCGAGGACTGATTTTTTAGATTCCAGTGCTTCGCCAGCATCGCGGGATGGAGCACCCAAATCCGAACCTAAACCGGAATAAGGTAGGGGCCTTAAAAATTAGAATAGGGTTTGGGGGTTCCTTATTATAATTATGGTATAATATATCCCCACAACCCTATGCTAATGACTAAAGCCTCTATATCACTACTTCTGCAAGCCCGACTGCCCGCCCTGCAACAGTTCACCCTGGATTGATGCAGCATTCTGAAGATCATGCAGTCCATATTTCCACAAGCAGGCAACGCCTTAACTTTACAGATTATGCCCAGAGAGCCCAATACCCCTTAATTAAGGAATATACCTTAAATCATAGAGCTCTGAATATGGTGATTTCAGGTATATTCCTTAATTAAGGAGTATTGGGCTTATACACATATCGTTGATAGGACTAGGAGCAATGAGTATAGAACCTATTTATCTATTTGTCTATCTGTCTATGTCCGTTTGTCTATCTGCCTGGCTTTACATTGATGTCACATGTCATTCTTCGCCGTGTCTTTTTCCTTGTTCCTGGCTAGACCTCTACTTAGAGGCCTCTAAAACCCTTTAAAACCCTACCAGACCCTAAACCCTAAACCCTAAACCCTAAACCCTAAACCCTACCAGTCCGACTCCTCCGGTCCTTCAAGCGCTGAGGCAGGGCTGAGACACTACTGGAGGCATCTGCCCGCGTGCTGGGCTCAGACTTTTCAGTTCGAGTTTAGCCTAGAAAACAGACGTCTTTTGGGGGGGCTCCTTGTTATAATTTCCTTCCAGAAGGCCTCGAAAAAGGTAGGTTGTTTGGGCTTAAGGTAAGCTTCCGGATTGCTCCAAACCCTAAACCCTTAAACCCCTAAACCCCTAAACCCCTAAACCCCTAAACCCTAAACCCTAAAACCCTTAAGCCCCTAAACCCTTAAACCACTAAGCCCTAAACCCTAAACCCCTAAACCCTAAGCCCTTAAACCCCTAAACCCTAAACCCCTAAACCCTAAACCCTTGAACCCTTAAACCCCTAAACCTTAAACCCGTCTTGGAGTTCCGGATTTCGGGTGCGCTGGGCTCAGGCTTTCCAGACGTCTGCTCCAATTTCTCGGATGCCACCCAAACGTAACCAGTAAACCCACGACCCGAAGCCCCAATCACAGACTAAACCTTCGGCTCTAAACAATCCTTAAAGTTTAGGGTTTGTATAAGGGTTTATGTAAGTGTTTAAGGGTTTAGGGGTTTCAGATGTCGGGTTTTGCTGGTGTAAAAGATGATGGAGCTGTGGGGCTGGATTTCTGTAGAGCTTTTCACTCCTGCAGTCAACCCGTTCGTGTCACACCTACAGCCGCTTCCTAAATTTTGTAAGTACCGTTGACACCCAGTAGAACTCGATGGAACCTCAAGCTGTGTCGATTCCATGGCGGACCTGCTAAACCTCATGCAATATCTAACCCTAAACCCCTAAACCCTAAACCCCGAAACCCTAAACCTAGAAACTACGAAGCATTGTTCTCCCAAAGCTGCAGACTGTCACTGAAGCTTCAGCCTTGTATGCCATTCGGAGCTTCTGTATATGTCGCTTCTTTGGGCTTGGGGTTCTTAGGGTTTTGGAGGTCAAACCCTAAACCCTAAGGTCTTGGGTACACCAAGACTTGAACCCTGCTCCTGGAAGCCGACAAAGGTGGTGGCAGCCCCGTTCGACGCATTTACCAAGGAGGTACTTTAGTGCTTTTGTTTTTGGGGGGATTTTGTGCAGAGGTTCGGGCTTGCAGGGCTTACCGTCAAACCAAGGACTAGGGGTAGGCTTTTGGGGCCCTAATTGGGCCTTAGACTATCTTGTTTACCAATCTAGATGAGTTAGAAGGGGTTAGAGTTGTACGGTTTTCTGAAGATAGGGAGAGAAAGGTCGAGTAAGGTCGAGGGTTTATTCAGGATATTCGCAGACACCAAATCCCACCAGTTGAGAATGATCTATAATCTAAGTAGAATAGAGTTCTTCAGCAAGGGATCTTTAAACTTTCTTCAGACATACATGTGTGTATATATAGATATATATATATATATGTTTGAGTTCAGGTTTTGTGACGGGCGTTGCTTTCCAGCAGAGAGTATGATGTCAAGCCTGTTTCGGGATAAAGCCCTCGGTCTTCTGGTGTCGCGAACTGACAGATGTTGCACCTGAAAGCCTAAGCCGCAATCCGCAATAGTCGTAAGCTTTACGCAGTCTCTAAATTCCTGTATCTCAGGGGCTCTCGCAGGTCTGCTGTTGAGTTCAGCATCCGACATGGCTTCTTGATCTCACCTCAAAAGGAAGGTTCTGTTGGAATTCGACTCGTTTGGAAACTCGCTTGGGACCTACTGAACTGGAAACGGCTGTGCGCCCTGCTTCTGACGCAAGCGGCTTTGTATCCAAGCCTTCACGGCTTTCGGGCTAAGATGAAACTCCCAGAGGGTGCACATATTCTACCATCAATGGTTTTAGGGACCTAGTTCCATAATGGTAGTGTATATATGGACCCTCTGAAACTTATCCGGCTTCTGCGCCACGCTCCTTCGAGGTCAAGAGTTGCGGATTGCAGACCTTAGAGGTCCGAACAACTTGCAGCAACATCCCGGTACAGAGCCTACCAGATGTTCCCAAAGGGTCCCAGGCACTGTCATGGGGGATACTTCCGCAAATCATAGTAGTAATTCCTACTACCAAACCCTACATTCTACTTTATTGTTACTTTGGACCCTTTAAACCCTTTCGGATTGCTTCAGGTATTACGGCCCCGTTTATGTAACCCTTCTGATCCCTTGTGGAAATCCCTGAAAGAAGTCCTGTAGACATTGTCAGGTCACCACGTGGCTGCGATCTTCAGACTCTGGCCGTCTGGAGGACTGGGTTTAGGGTTTAGGGTGCTACCCCCGGGGTTCTATACGCGCTTCTCTTCAAACACTCAGGGCTCATATACCGGTAGTAGGGTTGGCGGTTCCGAACTGTTCAGAGTATAGTATTTGGGACCTTAGACCCCGAACATGCTGTATACAAAGCCCGGCGATTCTAGACCCTAAAACCCCTAAGCCCTAAACCCTAAACCCCTAAACCCTAAACCTCTCTGCCTTCGATTTCCGAGAAACGCGCCAGGCACTCCAGAGCTTTCTGGCTGAGGCTGCTGAAGAGCTGGAGGACCATTTTAGGGCTTAGGGGTTTAGGGTTTAGGGTTTAGGTATGTACTGTAGGTTTAGGGATTACCCTTAGCAGCAAAATGGCTGATGGAATAGGGTCTTTGGGCCCAAATGCCTTAAACTATGAGTCCTTTGAGGATAAGGGTTAGATCCCCGCAGTACCTGGGTTTCCAAGGTCTTATGGAGGGTTTACACGTGTTTATTCGGGTTCCATCAGGTTTTATTGGGCTTCATAGAGTGTTACAGCATGTTAGAGCCTGCGTTAAACGCTTTACAACGCACAAGGCATATTCCTTAGGCCCTAAACCCTAAACCCCTAAGCCCTAAACCTGAAACCCTAAACCCTAAACCCCAAACCCTGCAGGGGATTGGGCTCAGTTCGGCTTGTGATTTTCTAGTTGAATTATGGCGCGTTCTGTCGCAGTCTACACTGTCGGGTCCAGTCTCCTGGTCTTCGAGTTTAAGGTTTTGGGTTTAGGGGTTTAGGGGTTTAGGTTTTTGGGGCTTAGGGCTTGTTGTTAAGGTTTAGGGATTCGGGATTATGGTTTCAGATTTAAGGTTTGCAGGGCTTCTGGGTCTGTTGGGCTTCAGCCGTTGTAGTAATACACCTTGAGTCAAGGGAACGGTCCAGGAACCCTTACAGCAACACTTGCAAGTAGTCGGGGTGCAAACCTTAAACGCTAAACCCTAAAGCCTAAAGCCTAAACACTCTCCCTCATATGATATTTAAACATTATATGGATTCGTTGAATATGGCTTGTGCGGTGTGCTTTTCGCCAAGTTTAACGAAGACATCGCCAAACTCCAAGCGAAAAATGCCACATTCAACGAAGGGCCGGCTCTTCGTTGAGTATGGTCAAACTATTCGTTGAATACGGCGTTTTTGTAATGTCTTCGTGAAGATGTTGCGCTTTTCCGTCAAAGTACGTAGGACCAAGGTTGTTGGGTTAACGGTGTAGGGTTTAGGATTTCAGCCTAAAGGTTGAATTGAAGCATAACGGTTACCTGATGTTTTGGGAATCTTGGGCGGGTGGGATGATTTCCGGAGTTGAGCTCGACTGAGGTTGCTGAACCCTAAACTTAAGCCCTAAACTGCTTTTCCCTCACCCACTGTCACTGGCAGGCCACGGAGAAGGCTTATCGACTGGGACAGCAGGCGCACCTTCTACTCACCCTGAGCGATCTGCGGGGGGTTTAGGGTTTCGGGCTTAGGGTTTTGGGATCTGCGAAGTACTACAGCATTGAAGCCCGAAAACCTGAGCTCCAAAAGTTGAATGAGTCCCATGCCCTTTCAGTATGTAAGCACTTCTACGCCCCCGAAAAACTGACCGTGCAAGGCAGTCATATTCTCTCGAGCTTTGGGGTTCACATCTATTCAGCCTGTGACCCTAAACGCTAGAAATCGCAAAAGATCTCAGCGCTACACCTTTGAATTCAATCATTTGAGCCCCAGGCCTGTGCAGAACATTCCTAGGCTTCCTCGAAAATCATCAACCCCGAATTGCCATGCTTGCTCCCTTCGGGTCTTGGCCCCTTCCCGCAGTACAAACATGCCACATGGCCCTGGCTACTATCGGATGCTGGAAGAAATTCAGAAACCCTTACCCTCCAAGGACTGATATGTCAAGGCTTTTGCGCCCAAAGACCCTATTATATGCTTTTGGGCTTCCTCGATGCTAAAGGAAAGGGTCAAGGGCTGCTTTGGGTTCACTTTTTGTTTCGGGTCTAGATAAATTTGGGCTTCGTAATCGTAATTGGAATTGGGTTTGGGTGCCCAATCTGCTATATTGAGAAAAAGGAACCCCCAAAATAGTCTTCATAGTTCTTTAGGCCACTATATTAGGCTGCCTCTCTTGTTGTGGTGTGCAAAAGGGCAGTCAAGTTTCCCAGGTCTGGGTAACGTTTGGTGTCACGGATTTGCACGGAGAGACCCTGGTCCTTTTCTGTAGGGTTAGGGTTTACGGTGCCAAGTCCCCGCTCCCGTCGGATATCGCGGAGCCTATTGCTGCACAGGTGTCGGAGGCCCGCAGCAGACGAAGCTCGGCATGACACGGCGTGAGTATCGGATTCGGGTGCAGACTTCGGCGGATTCGGCACGACCCTAGACCCTAACCCTAAACCCTAAACCCTAAACCCTAAAGCCTAAACCCTAAACCCTAAACCCTGAACCCAAAACGAACATCCTGAAGCCCCAAGCCCTGAACCCCCGACGGTCTCAGAGTTATCGCTGCCTGGTTCTTGTTCGCAATGCAGACGCCAGGACGGAGAATTCGTAGTGATCTTTAGGGCCCCTTTCTGTGAGTAGACGATCTTTAGGGCCCCTTTCTGTAAGTAGACGATCTTTAGGGCCCTTTCTGTAAGTAGACGATAATATACTCCCAAATCCTTTCTCTATAAGTGTTAAAGTCCCTAGACTAGTGTGGGAACTTGGAAAACAACCATTCAAGCCCCTCTATCATAGAACCCTTATGGCCTTATGGTTGTGCTAAAAGAGTCGTGAAAGCAAGCCTTATAAGAAACCCTTTAAAGGAGCCCCATTCTAAGACCCTAAACCCTAAACCCTAAACCGAAGAGTCCTTCCGGCCCTGATGTTTTGCTTTAAAGGTGAGGGCTGAGGGCTACGGCAAGAGGCTGGGAACGGTTTCAAGGGCCACACCTGGGGCCGGACTTATTGTTTAAGGTTTAAGAGTTGCGGTTTTGGGCTTTAGGGCTTATCTAACTTAGGGTTTAGAGGTTTAGGTGTTTAGAGTTTCGGTTTTGAAGTACATCAACCGAGGCTACGACGAACTGGGGGGCTTTGAACACGTGGCCGAGTGCAGAGACTGGCTGCAACGGGCTGGATGCCAGTCTGCACTTCGGGGATGTGTGCTTACTTGGAGGTTCATGGGTAGCTATAAGCGGGGTTATAACTATAGTTACCCCATATTAGGGGATTTATAACCCTACTTATAACTTCCCATGAACCTCCAAGTAGGGTTAGAGTCAGGGGCCTGGGTTCTTTAAGGTTCCACATTTTCACTACTACATAGTTATATACAACCACCCACCAACCCCTTCCAAAGCATGATATATCTAGGGCCACTATGTCAGGGTTGCCGGCTGGTGACTTCGGCCTGACATGCTGAGGGAATGTGGGAGTTTCCGAAAATAAGGTACCCCGTATTTTGGGGTCCTTATAATACGGGTCGCATTATTTCCCCTAAACCCTAAACCCTAAACCCTAAACCCTAAACCCTAAACCCTAGGGCACTATATTGGGGGGTCCCCCTATGTTCGGAAACCCTCATGGGTTGGGAGGTTCCAGAGCTGAAGGTTAGAAGGAAGGGCCCCAAGACCTGCTACCAGCTGGGTTTAGGGTTTAGTGTTTAGGGTTTAGGGTTTCGGTTTAGGGTTTAGGGTTTAGGGTTTAGGGCATTTTCGATTAAGAGTAAAATCTGTCCGTCCCGGGGTTTAGGCTTCACGCTTTTCAAGTCCCCAGCTCTAGCATCCCCATCCAACCGTGCAGGCTTTCCCAAAGGCTCCATGTACCTTTATAGTATACTTATGTCTTAAAGGGGTCTCTGGGCTTTGTAGAGTTTCGCCAGGAACGGCAGAACTCCAAGCCCAAAGCTCATAACACGATCTTTGGACCGATAACCATCAACCCACTGACTCGAGATCTCGATCCGTGTACACTATACTCTACATCCCTTTACGTCGAGTTGTCACCTTTAGGATTTAAGCCTCGAGCTTTTAATTAAATTCCTTTGAAAAAAATACAAAAAGCCCTAGAGTCTCCAGACCTAGATCCTAATCTGACATTTCGATTCTCAGTTACTAGATGGATTGAATAAGTATTCAGAATATATAGGCATATAGGGATGCGCAAGTTTATTTAAAGTATAGCCAGACATCCCATTCTAGTTCGATCTATATTGGAAGCCTATATGAACCCTTTCTTAGCAACCCCATAGAAAATGATACGGCTGATGATACAAATCCTGCATTACCCAGAAGAAGGAATATACCATAATTCCCATAGCTTAGGGTCCTTATGAGGTAATGCAGGATTTCTATCATCAACGGCATGACCCATGTCATTAAGGCAGCTACCCGACCCTAAGTCCTCAAGCCTAGCCCTGAGTCCTTAAGCCGAGAGCCCAAAGACCATTCTCTGGCGAAGCCCTAAACCCTAAACCCTAAGGGTAGGGTTTAGGGTTTAGGGTTTAGGGCGTGTTTAGGGTGTGCTTTAGAGTTCCGGGCTGGATGGCTAGATAAACAGTGCCAGACCCTGAACGCCCAGCCACAGACCCTGCACCTGGAGATGCAAACCAATAAGCCACACCCAAAACCGGTAAACCCGTAAACCCAAAGCCCTTAAAGCCTCAAAGCCCTAAAGCCCCAAAGCCCCAAAAACCTAAACTCGAATGCCTAAAGCCCGAAACTCAACCAGACCCAAGGGGAGACTGCGGGCCCTTCTTCGCACGTGCCGTGGCCATGTCTGTAAGCAGGCTTACATACAGGGTACGTGTGGATGTGGCTACTTACGACGTGTTGCCCAAATCAACCCCTAAACCCTGGAGTCGAAACCCTAGTCCTTAAAACCTAAACCCTAAACCCTTGTCCTTAAAGCCTTAAACCCTAAACCCTAGTCCTTAAAACCTAAATCCTGGTTGCTCAAACGTGAACCTTTTGTTGGAGCTGGGGGTCAGGCGTTGAATATAGCCCCCCCATGCTTCTCAACGACCCCAAGCACATAGGAAAGGATAGGATCGCAAATACTACATCTTGCATTCACGCCTGCGTGGACCTGGATGGAGGTATGGCATGGATGGATGCAGGGAGGGATGGATGGATGGTTTGTATGTGTTTACATGTGCTTGCTTATGCCGTTTTAAACCTTGGCGACGAGTAGGAGTAGAATTACCTCGGAAGCCCTATCCAAGCCCTGCATGATCCCAGAAAGCCCGAGAGCTGCCTCAATTGTTTTCAGTGTGTTGCGTTGTTTGGTACGTATGCAAAGTCCCGGGATTTGCTCACAAACTTTAAACCCTAAAACCCTAGAGCCCTAAACCCCTAAACCCTAAAACCCTAAACCCTAAAACCTTAAAACCCTGGTCTAGGGTTAAGCGTTCCATAGAAGGTCCTTCATAGAAGGTCCCGACAGCCGCGCTGACAAACTTTTCGTTGAGCCCCCAGAAGCCATTGACACAGCCTCACCCTAAACCCAAAGCCCCTAAACCCAAAACCCCTAAACTCTAAACCCTAAACCTTAAATTAAACCCTAAACCCTAAACCTTAAACCCTAAACCCTAAACCCGACACTCAACCCGAGGCATCCCACACCGTGAATCTACCCCAAACTTCCCGCAGACCACGGCAGATAGAAGAGCATACCCGTCTTTACGTCAATAAGATGATCCTGAAGAAATGGATTTGTAGCTGGATTTCAGACCAAAAGGCACAAGGCAACAAGCCGCCCAAAGCAAAAGTTCCGGAATTGAATATGTTTCGACGTTTCGTTCCTGAAGACATGAATTCGTACTTAGATGCCATTATAGCTGGATGCCACGGCAAGAGCGCAAGGCAGATCCCGCCAAAACTCCGGACCTGAACCCTACTATGCAATTTCTGTCATGTTCCATAAAACCTAAACTCTAAACCCTAAGCCCTAACCCTTTATCCTACCCATAGGCCCCATAGTGGTTCCTTTTGGGGATTGCCTAACAGGATCCTAAATATAGGCCACAAAACGGAACTACTATGGGGCCTCTGGGTAAGCCCTAAGTTCTATGTCTCTCTGAGGCTGTAGCAGGCGCTTCCGATGGAGCTACTCTGAGCTTGGAGTCACCGGCTTTGCTGCAGCTGCAGGAGGCCAGTTGAGGGCTTAGTGGTTTGTGTTTAGGGTGTGGGGTTTACGGTCTAGGGTTTGGGGTTTACGGTTTAGGGTGTGGGGTTTACGGTTTAGGGTGTGGGGTTTAGGATTCAGGGTTTAGGAGATATACGATGGGTTTGGTTCAGCGTGAAGAGCCAGAGAAAGGTACCAGTATGAGGGATCTAAACACAAGCTAGAGGGCGAAGGGCTTCGGAGTAGTTCAGGCCTGTGTTGTAATTGGAGTCTTGACAGGTTTTTGGTGAGTAGTGACTCTCAGCAACATTGGTCAAGGTTTGTTTGGGGAGGCTTGAATGGGATGCTGGCCGCTGCCAGTAGCTAGGGCTTTGGCTTGAGGCACTGCAACACCCCACATAGCGAGAGCAGCTACCCGCTTTGAAAAGTTATAGATGGGTATGAGCCCCGAAGTTGAAGCTGCTAGACGTTGTCTCGGGTCTGCTTGGGGCTTGTTCTTCGACTGGGCACTGGCGCTCTCGACGTGTTTGGTTTCGGTGATGATGTTGATGATGGGTTTGTAGCTGGCGCTGGTTACGATGTAGAGATTTCGTGGACACAGCTATGTCGGGTTCAGGCTTAATTGAGACCACCCAAAATGGACTGAACACAAATGGGCATGGCCCGCAAGTCTCGCTAACGTAAGACTTTAGATCCCTCAACTTCTGGTTTTGGGCTTTCTGTTGGGGGTTACATCTTGGCAAGTCCTTAGCAGGGCCATAAGGTTTCAAGGCCAAGGAGATCTTAGGGGAGGACCTGAGGTTTACGTATATAAGTTCCTGTATATAGCGGGTTCCTTCAAAGGTGGTTCTATTAGGGTTGACGGTGTAGGGTTTAGATTAGGGAATAACTTTCGTTCAGACCGCGTATGTTTTACGGACTGAAACCTTCAGAAGTGTTTCTCTTGAGCATCCCTCAAGCACCGTAGCACCAAATGCAGACGCGTAATATTGGGGCCTGAATAATTACCTACACTCTTTTTTGGGGGTGCTGATTATAATTCTAGTACAATATACCCCAAAACCCTGTTCTAATTATCAAGGCCCCTACATTACACGTAACGCAAACATGTGGGAAGTTTGATAGCAAGACCCGAAGCAGCAGGCAGCACAACTTCAGCACAACCACTCTCAGGAAGGGAGCCAAGGCTCTAACCTGAACCCTTGACCCTAAACCTAAGCTCCCTGCCCCTTCATCCCCAAACGGTTAAGGTTTAGGGTTTAGGATTTAGGGTTTAGGGTTTAGGGTTTAGGGTTTAGGGTTTAGCGTTTAGGGCTCCAACCTGAACCCTGAACCCTAAACCTACAGCAGAAGCCAGAAAGTTGGAACATCAGTATCCTAATGCCCTTAAGGCAAAGTTTAGGGAATCCCAGCACTAATCATCCTGAACCCATGTTCCAACTTTCTGGGGTTCACTATAAGCTCCCTGCTCCCTTCATCAACAATTAAGCCCTAACTCAGAACTCCTTACTCCCTGAACCCTGAACTCCCCAAACCCTCAACCCAGAACCCCAATGTAGGGGCCTTACTGATTACCTATATTATTTTGGGGGCTCCCTATTACAATTATAGTATAATATACTCCAAAACCCTATTCTAACTGCTGAGGCCCCTACATTAAACACCCTGCAGCCATAAGCTTGCAAGACCTTTTTATCATCAGAGTATATTCCAAAACCCTACATTAAACACATAAGATACCTGTAACCTCATCATCTCAGGAATCCATCAAGGACGTGTTTCATGTCTTGCTAAGATTTCCAGCCATAAGCTTGCAAGACCTTGTTCAAGCTTTCGCCAGGCTGCCGTTCCAGAAGCACCCGGCGCTGCCGGCGCAGGCGATGATCGTTGCCTTTATACGGACTTCAGGTTTCATGGTTTAGGGCTTATAATATAAGGGCCTTAATATTTAAGATAGGGTTTTGAGGACCATTGGGCTATAGTTGTAAAAAGGAACCCCCAAAAATATTATTGGTAATCATTTAGGCCCCCACAGTAGGTTTCGGAGCTGGGAATTTCGTGTTGAGAGATAGGTTTGGGGAGGGTGCTGTGGATCTCTCTAAGTCTTTGGGTTTAGGGGTTTAGGGCTTTAGGGGGGTTTAGGGTTTTAGGGGTTTTAGGGGCTTAGGGGTTTAGGGTTTTAGGGTGTAGGCCTTCGGCTTCTTGGGTCTTCGAGTTTAGAGTTTAGCCTTTGCGCTGCTGGGTTTGTGATTTTGCGGGCGTTGACTCAACACGGCCTGTGTGTATATAACTGTATATATATATATATATGTAGCTATGTAGGCATAGGTATGTATGTATGTATGTATGTATGTATGCATGCATGTATGTATACATGTATGTATATGAACACAAGACATAGCTGTGGAATGTATGGCTTTCTGTTTCCGTGTGTCTGTCAGCCTCTCTTGTAGGAGCATTGGGGCAAGGTACGTACCAGTTTAGGTTCTACGGTAAAACCCTAAACCCTGTTTGGGACATTTCCTGTGAGGCGACCTTGCCGACGACGACGATGCGTGGCTACAAAGCCGGCTGCAAAAAACGAGGCTCGACGACCGCGCGCACTACACACGTACCGACTGCATGCACGCAGAGCACAATGCGTCCCTACCGTCAGGTTAAAGTTTTCAGATTTGCATCGAAAGATGCTGTAAGCCCTGTCTCTGTCACTGCTTCATCATCATCTACGTGCCCAGATCCGGTGGACCCTTACCCCTAGTACCCATTAATTAAAGCCTGCACATCATCTCCGAACCTATGCCCCACACCGTGTTTCCTGATTGTAGGCACGGAAGCCACAAATCCCGAACCCTGAACTCCAACCCCGAAACCCCAAACCCTAAGCCCTAAAACCCTGATCTGTTTCCTTCCCGCGAGCAGTTGAGTTGATGTTCTGGGCGGTTTCTCGTCTGGGAGCCGAAGGGAGGCACCCCCACCAGAGACCCCAATATAATATTGGGGCCTTAATAATTAGGATAGGGTTTGGGGGTATACTATACTATAGTTGTAATAAGGAGCCCCCAAAATATTATTGGTAATTAATTAGGCCCTAGTGGGTTTTGCTATGCCATGACCCCAAAGAATGCAGAAGCACCCAAGCCCACATTCATGTGGTGTGCATTCCTCTTACATTTCCTGCTGTGCAACAACTGTGACGTGAGGCTCTGTCTGTTGATCTGAGTATTTCTTGCAGCCTGCGTGTTGTCGTCACATCCTTGTCCTCCTCCTCCTCGACCTGTCCCCAGCTTGTCAAAAGATCTGCCACTCTGCTCGCATGATGGGTTTCGCCATACCACTGCTTGGTGGCTCTCTTCATTTTAATTTTCTTTCCGGTGCTCTTCTTAGGGGTTTTGGGTTCAGGGCCAAGTTTAGGGTTGTAGAATCACATGGCCAGAAGTCGCCTGCTGCGCATCACCATCAGTATCAACAGCAGTATGACTATCAAACGTAGGCACATTAGTGCCCAGCCACCACCACTGCAATCATCACCACTATTTTGATCACGATAGTCATAGTGATCACCGCCATTGCCGTCATCCTCATCGCCTCCATCATCGATGTCCTGCTTGTCATTGCTGCTCGCCATCATGGCCGGCATCGTCATCATCACCGAAAACAAAACAGCATGATGTCTGAAGTCTGCAGTGTCATGAAGTTAAGGCCATAGAATGCTTGTGTGTGCAACTCAAACTTATCCCTCAGGGTCCAAATATCCCACAATCACATGCTGCCCTGAAATCTGACCCTCAATTACCTAAAACCCAAACCGTCTATCCTCGACCAAGCAAGGCTAGTAGCTACGTTCTGAAGCGGCGTCTTCCCCATGCAAGGAGCTTAAGCAACAGGGAGTTTTGTTATGGTATAACTTTGGCGGGATTGTAAAAGCATATCATTGCTAGTTGCTAGTTGAGGTCTTTGGTAAACCGAAAAGTAGTTCCTTGACAAGAGATCAGTAGTTTCTGCATAGTGTGGTAGCAAGTGCCCTGAGAGATTGTTTGTACTTCTTCACCTAATTAAACGCCAAGTCCTAAAGAAACCCTAAACCCTAAACCCCTAAACTTTCATGCCCTAAGGCCACAGGCCCTGCAGTTAAACACAAAGACCCCCAAGACGGTGTTGCGAGGCACGAAAGCGCCAAACTGCAAGCAGAGCTTTCTGCGGAGAAGCCCTTGCAGAAGACCCGCAGCTCAGCCTTACTTGCTGCTGTTGAGGGTGCCCACATACTTCGGTCCGAGAGGCCCAAGACAGAAAGTAATTTGGGTAGTTATTCGTCAAAGCCCTAAACCCTAAACCCTGAGATCAAGAGAGCCGAACCCCAAAGCCTGAACCCTATGTCAACACCCAAAGCCATGGTCCTCCCTACTTGGAGGTTCATGAGTAGTTAAAATGTGGGGTGATAAGTCCCCCTCCCAATATGGGTTATAACTCATAACCCTAGTCATCCTACTTTTGTAGCCCTACTTGTAACTACCCATGAGCCTCCAAGAAACCCTAAACCCTAAACCCTAAACCCTAAAACCCCCTAAACCTGGGGAAGCTTGGCGACTTCTTGGATCTGACGACGGACGACCCGATCTTTGCGAAGTCGCATGACAACTGTCAGGCCCAAAATCCGCAGACCCCTAAGCTAATTATGGAAACCTTAAGCCCGGAAAAGGAACCCTGAACTCTAAACCCTCAAAAGGAACCCTAATCCCTTAAAAGGAACCCTTCAAAGCCCCTAAACCCTAAACCCTAAACCCCTAACGTTAAATTCATCCCAAACCGTTAAACCTGAGGCGAATCGCTCCCGGCCCACGGCCAGCGGGAAGCGATTCAAAAGGCTGTGGCTGCCTGAGGATGGTCGCATTGAGGGCATTGGGGGCTTCAACTATTGCGTTCTGTTCTCATTCATGTTGTTTGTTTGTGTTTTGTGTGTGTGTGTGCGGGTTTTGTGTGTGTGTGTGTGCGGGTTTTTGTGTGTGTGTGTGTGTGTGGGGGTTTGTGTGTGTGTGGGTTTGTGTGTGTGTGTGTGTGTGTGTTTGTGTGCATGGTGAAATTATATTGAAACTTTAACTGCGCATTATGGCTGGTCTTTTTGTTGCACGAAATAAGTTGCACCAAACCGTAGTACAGTGGCGTACGTGGTTATGCCATAGTGTATGAGTGTATGATAGCTTGGCTTCTCATATCAAGATGTCGTGTTTATTGCTTATACTACAAGTCTCATACCGAATAACACTATGCACATTGTACCGGAATGCGGACGGTTCTTTGTATTGTATCTTATCGTAAGCTTTCTATTGTGTTTTGTTCTATAACACAATCATGTCATGTCGTATTTCTTTTGAATATCATATACATTCGACTGTCTTGTGTTCGACGGAGTCGCGCATATACACAGTGGATGTGTATATGTATATATATATATATATACACCTAACTACATGTATAGCTAGGTATGAATGCAGCTGTCGCACTCTTTGGCCACCGACAGAATCCAGCTGGACAGAGACTTGAGTGTCCACGTCTAAACTTCAGAAAATCGAACTCTTAGCCGGAACCCAATGCTGCACAATTACCCTAAACCCAAAGCCTTGAGCAACTCTAAACCCCAAGAGTCGTAAGCCGTGAGCCCAAAAACCACTGAGTTCAACACGAGGTTGGCGAATCGCAGGTGGTCGTGATCGAGGGCGACACCGGCTGCGGGAGCTTTGGATGGTTCAGCTTCAGGGTTTAATGTAGAGGCCTTAATAAGAATAGGGTTTTTGGGCCCATTCTACTATAATCGTAATAAGGGGCCGCCACAATATCATTGGTAATTATCAAGGCCCCTACATGAGGGTTTTAGCATGAAGATGGTGGGGTTTTCGGACTTGATCGAGTCTTTATAAAGATTGTGTTATGAGTTCTAGGTTGGGTGAGGATTGTCAGGGCTAGAATTATTTAGAGGCTTGGTTAGGGTTCTATTTGGGCATCTTATAAGTTGCTCGGTTTTCAAGGTTGTTTTCAAAGTTTTCTAAAGGTACCTTCACAATTCGAGTAGGAGGCTGTCGGGTCTTGGGGTTGAACCGCACCTTGAGACCCTCGAAAACCCTGCGGCCCTAAGCCTAAGCCTTAAATCGCCAAGCCCAAAACCCTAAACCCCAGGGGTTCACTTAAACCCTACGCCCTACTTGGAGGTTCATGTGTAGTTCTAAGTGGGGTTATAAGTAGGGTATTTATAGTCATAACCCATATTTGCCGGTGTATACACCTTGAACCCTGAACCCCATAGAACCCCTCAAGGGTACCGTACTTTCAACCCTACCTACAACTACCTATGAACCTCCAAGTAGACCCCAGCCCTACCCGACCCGCTCAAAGCCTTGAAAAGCAAAGGCTAACAACCCTGCGGACTCGAGACAACTTCACAGAAAGCCCAAGATGGGGTTCTCCGAAAATAGGGGACCCTAATATAGCACCCTAAATAGTAGGATCCCTATTATAAGGACCCCCAAATAAGGTACCCTGTATTTTCGGAAACTCCCAATATCCCTTCATCCAGGAATCCAAGGAGCATGCCGAACACTTTTGAGTTTAATACACCCCTAATAGGGTGACAAGCCCTGCCATGGAAGAAGCCGTTCATGACCGGATGCCTGCTTCAGAGGATGCCAAAACACCATAGCTGCGAAGTTGCAGTTGGATCGAGAACCCTGAACCGCAAGCCTTGAGAAACCAAACCCTAAACCCCTATGCCCTGAACAGGGTTTTAGGCTTTAGGGTTTAGGTTTTAGGGTTTAGGGTTTAGGGTCTGAGCCTGTAGCCCCGGCAACAAGAACTTGTCAGGAAGTCGACGCAAGTCCCCCAGAAGCCCGGCTGCACTCGTCTTAAGGCTGTATGGAGGATCCCCCAAACCCAAGACCCTAAACCCCAACCCCTAAACCCCAACCCCTAAAGCTTTTATCTTGCACAAACCCCAACCCCTAAACCCCTACAAATAGAGACGGTGATGGAATGCCTATCCCAACCCACAGGTGCAGGGGTTTTAGGGCTTAGACCGGTGGGATGACAGAAACTCCTAAGTGCTACACCGCTTTAGAAACGTTCAGGGTTTCGGGTTTCAGTTCGTTGATCCTCTTTTGTGGTGTCTGTCGTTTAGGGTTTAGGGTTTAGGGTTAAACCCTAAACCCTAAACCCTAAACCCTAAACCGCAAACTGTTGCGAGCCTGGGGTTCGAAGTCATTCCTTAGGGTTCCGCGTTGATGCCGTATTCCTTTAGAGCCTAGAGATTCAGGGTTTGAGGGTGCGGGACTTCTGTGTTTAGCTTAAGGTAGGTTGGTTTAGGGGTTCGGGGTTAGGGTTGAGGATTCATGGGTGGCCTCTCTGCCAACGATGCGAAATAAGGTCCGTCGTGGAACCCGTTTTCCTCAAATCCTAAATCGGGGTTCGGACGTTGTGCAGCGTACTGCATATATATATATATATATATTTATTTATTTATATATATATATATATATATTTATATTTATTTATTTATTTATTCATTTATTTATTTATGTATTTATGTATTTATTTATGTGTTTGTTTGTTTGTTTGTTTATATAGCCATCATAGGACGCGGCAGTGGGACCTTAGGTTCTTCAGAAAACTGCGCAATACCAAAGCAGAAGCTATTTTTGTTTCTAGGTTGCTGGTTCTTCGGGTAACAGAGGCAAAGGCTTCACCCTAAACCCTAAATCTTAAACTCTAAACCCTAAACCCTGCAACCCAAGCCCGGCAACCCTGAAAGAAGTTAGGCAAACACGAGCGCCCAAAAAGAAGCCCGAAGCTCTAAATCGAATAGGGTCGGTTTAGGCTTTAGGGTTCAAGGTTTAGGGTTCAGGGGTTTAGGGGTTTAGGATTTAGGGTTTCAGGTTTGGGGTTTAGGGTCTAATAGGATCCTATCGTTCTTTAGACCCAGCACAGGTAAGGACGCATTCAAGCATGTTAAGACCCCAACCGTCAATCCCAACCCTAACTCAACCCCAGATAACTCATCTGTCTAAGCTTATGTTAGAAAATCATAACAACTAAGATGGAGCCCTAAAGAAGGTGCTGCAGGTCTCATAGAGTTCAGCTTAACAATAGACCCTAAACCCTGAGCCACCAGGTACATCTTCGAAGACTGGCTCAAGAAGGGCCAAGCGGGCGCTGCCACGACCTCGGCGAAGCCAATCATTTTCCAGTTTAGCGGGAGTTTAGCGGGTTTTAGGGTGCGTCCATGAATCACACGGAAGTACATAACTCTTACAGTTTCGAGTGTGGGTTGATGTAGGGCTGTAAATAATTGCCAATACTATCTTGAGGGTTCCTTCATATTATTGTAATAAAAGTATAATGGACCCCCACCCATAAGGCCCTTATATTAAGTTGTTAGTTTAGTGTTTAGGGCTTGGGGTTTGGGCCCGTAGAAGAGACACCGAGTAGCGGAGGTGCTCGATGCAAGAAACTAGTTTAAGCAAGTGCCTGAAGACTGAGGCCAGCATCATCATGACCCAGCCGCGTCGGATCAGCGCGATCGGCGTGGCGGATCGCATCGCCAGCGAGATGAACACAGGTGGGGCTCAGTGGTTTGGGGGGTCATGGGTTAGCCAACCAAGGGATAGAATGTAGGGGCCTTTATAATTAGAATAGGATTTCGTGGTATATTATACTATAGCTAAAATAAGGAACCCCCAAAATATAGTATAGGTAAGTATTTTGGCCCCTATGTTATGGTGAATTGCCACAAGCCCGAAGTTCCGAAACGCCTTCCACCAGGGGCTTCGGATTCCTGGCTTTTGAAGCTGAGGCCTTTTTTAAGCCCTAAGCCCTAAGCCCTAAACCCTAAACCCTAAACCCTAAACCCTAAACCCTATAAACCCTATAAACCCTAAACCCTAAACTGTGGCTCAACGCAAAACCCAAACCGGAAGCCTATTCGGTAAACTGAAATCAAGCTCCGACTGCAGGTTTCTAAACCTTACACCCGAAACCGACCCGACACACGGTTTAGGGTTTAGGGTTTAGGGTTTAGGGTTTGAGAAGAGACGGAAACCCTCAAAATTAGTAGTCGTCTTGTACGAATTTAAGTAATAGTATGAGTATTTGGGGTATTAACTCTAGTGAGCACGCCGACGTTGTGAAACTGAAGCGCGCCGGCGCTTCCAGGCCAACCGCGAAGACCCGGGAAGACCTGCAACAAACCCCAAAACCTAAACCCTATGAGCCCCAAGCCCGAAAACCTAAACACGTAAACCCTAAACCCTATGAACCCCAAACCCGAAACCCTAAACCCCTAAACCCCAGGGGCCTAAACCCTAAGGCCTAAACCCAACTTGTCAAATGCCTAAACTTTTCATCCTGAATCTCCCGACCCTGAAGTCCTGAACCCGACATAAACCGCTAAACCACAACAACCCAAACCGCCCATTTAGGGTTCAGGGTTTAGGGTTTAGGGTGTAGGGTTTCAATCCCAAAGTTAAGTTCCTTCAACCCAGTCTCCAAATCCAGTGCATCCTTATTCCATAAACTTTACCAATGAAGCTCCCCACCGAGACCCCAGAAGACCTTTCCTAAAACCCTGACCCTAACACTAAACCCTAAACCCTAAACCCTAAAACCCTGACCCCTGAACTCTTCATCAGACGAGGCTTGGGTGATCTGGTCGGCTACTCGATCCGCCTTGAGGCACCGAAACACTCCATGCGCATCGGAAGGAGAACTTTACAGAAGCCATCCCCGCCAGGGTCCATGCAGCCAAGAAAATTAGTATATACGATGGCCTTATAGTAGTCCCTCTGTATAGATGATTTGGGCCACAAGTATATACTTTTTGGGCACGTGGACCCATAGGAATAGGGTTGCAGAAGCCATACCGACCTCATGACAATCCCTACACAAGTGTACGAGCATCCTAAACTTAAATGGTTTAGGGTTTACGGTTAAGCCCCTAAACCTGAATGCTGAAAGAGGCTAAGCGCTCGGCACGGACCAAGATCTTGGTCTGCACCACAGGAGCATAGGGCGCTTGGGCATTTCTTCTGTATAACATAACTTGCTTGATTACCCAGGCCTTCAACTCCAAACCCTTAACCCTGAACCGTCAACCCCAAACCCCTAAACCCCTGAAGCCCTGAACGCTAAACCCAAACCCTAGCCCTGACCCAGGGTACGGAACCTGGGCTTGTTTGGGGTTTAGGGTTCAGGGTTTTAGGGTGTGCAGCGGCACTACGTCATGTCATGTGCCAACAGACGATGAACATTCTCAAAAGGGTCCAAGTACCAGTAGCAGACTTTGGGGGGCCGAAATATCCGATTTGGGACCCTATTCTGTTAGGGGATCTGCTTTCTGGATACATAGGCCCTAAACCCTGCATTACATGCTAAGGTGTACCAACTTCGTGGGTCTCGGATCTAAAAAGCAAATCCCTTAGCCCTTTAGTATATGATACTTGTTTCATCAACAAGATATCATAGACTAAAGGGTTTAGGGATTTGCTTTCTGAATCCTGGGACCTACAAAGTTGGTACAGCAAGCCGCGTTGCTCATGGATTTGCAGCTAATGCTTCGGAGTTGCTGGCCTCAATTGGCCTGGGCAAGATCGGTATTTCTTCAAGAATCGCAGGCTTGTTCGCCTCCTGCGCCATGGACTGCTTTTGCGTGGCTCCAGCGGGAGCTGGCGGAGTCCAAAGTGTGGGCCTCAACCTGCGGACGGATTGAGCAAGTCTACATGGGAGTTTCCGGAAATTAGGGTACCTTATTTGGGGGTCCTTATAATAAGGATCCTACTATTTAGGGTACTATATTAGGGTCCCCTATTTTCGGAAACCCCCACATGGACTTGTTGCCATTGGACGAGCTACGTGGAGGTCTCAGGGGCCGGATAGCCACAACGAGACGTCAGGTTTGAAAGAAGACAGATGACAGCTGAGATGATGCAAGCCATTGGGGCTTGTAGTTCCATGGCTACTATGCCCCAAACCCTAAGCCTCAAACCCTGGGCGCTTAGTTCAAAGTTTATCTTGTAATTGGTCTGTCGGGAGACGGGTTTGAGCTAGTGCACTCGTACCGTTGTTAACTATTGTTCTTCTTTTGCTCATCAGTGGCAGTGTTGTTCTTATGGTTGTCATCTCCGCAAACATGAGTTTCATGATTAATAAGACCTTTCAACGGGAGGAGTCCTGCTCCGACGCCTGGAGAATGACGAGCTCCTTCGGAATGTGACCCACGTCATCGTGGACGAGTGCTACTGGCCTTATGTGAGGATTCAGGGGGCTGAAGGGCTTGCGGCTTGTAGGATTTCGGGCGTGGTTTAATGGCTTCGGGTCTTGAGGGAATGCTTTTGCGTGGGGGCCTGGTGCTTCAGGCTTTAGACATGGGATGGCTGGTGCTGCGATACTAGAGTCTACTAGAGTCGGCCTCTGCTGTGACCATTTTGGTGGACGTGACGCTCGCAGTGAGGTTGAGTGGCGTGAGTTCTTACAGCAAGGCTGAAGGACAAGTGCTAGCCGCAGACAATAAGTTCCCAGCCCTGAGCCACACATGCCCTGAACTAAGCCCGACACATCGTTCTTAAACCGTAAGGCGCCCTAAACCCTAAACCCCTTAAGGCGTCAGCTGCAAATGTGATCTGCACAAACAAAGCCGCGCCATAGAGTCCAGGTCACGAGCGCGACTTGGACACAGACGCCCGGCTGGCAGAGAAGTCGGGCTCGGGCCTCTAGGCCGTTGGTTTTATAGTAAACCCCCAACAAGGTTGCAAACCGGATTAAGGACAAATAGTGCTGGGATGCCGACTTCATTGCTCTTAAGGATTGAGGGTATTAGGCTTCCAACTTTTGGGCTTCTACAAAAGTATCCAGCGTCCTCCATACCCATAGGCCCCATAGTAGTTCCTTTTTGAGGCTTGTATTTAGGATCCTATTAGTCCTATTAGGTAATCCCTAAAAAGGAACTACTGTGGCGCCTATGGGTAGAGCGTCAGCCCTTCGAAGAAGGGTCTACTCCTGGAGCCTCATGCAGTCTTGCCTTCTGCAATTTCAAAAACCTTATGGGTAGTTATAAGTGGGTTCATAAGTAGGGTAATTACAGTTATAACTTATAACCCAGATTAGGGTTATAAGTACCCCTGAACCTCCAAGTAGGTAGGTACTCGGATACTACCCGCACACCCAAACACTAGATACCCGTACCCTACACCCTGGAGTAGTTGATGCTAATATGAATTAGTAAAAATGAAAATTAATAGTATATTATGAATATCAATGTTTGTAATGCTAGCATTAATATTATTGTTCTTTATTTGTTACTGTTACTGCTGTCATTATTATTATTCTTCTTATTATTATTCGTAGTAGTAGGGGTAGTTCATGCGGTGCTTCAGACCCCGGCGGCGGATCTTCGAGGCCAAACGCCACAAGCCCCCGAACGGTACTGGCTTCGTTTAGGGTTAAAGGGTTAAAGGGTTTAGGGGTTTAGGGGTTTAGGGGCTTAGGGGCTTAGGGGTTTAGGGTTTAGGGGTTTAGGGGTTTGGGGTTTAGAGTTTAGTGGTCTTGCATGCTACATAGACTCGGGGTTCATAACATGCCCCAAGACCCTGTTCATAAGACTAGTTGGTGCTGTGCTTTCGATTCCAAGGCATGGGAGTGAGGGGTTGCTTTCTGAGCCCTAAACCCTGAACCCTAAACCGTTTAGCTTGTAGGGTTGTCATGGACGAGAAACACAGGCTCACGATTTCAAGGTGCACAAGGACCCGAATAGCAAGCGTGCTCAAGGAATAGCGTTCATTAATGAAGGGTCTAGATTGAAGGTTAGCAAGTTTAGGGTCATTCAGGCTTCGTGCTTATAACCTGCTACGGTTCAGCAAGTTAGGAGTTAGGGTTTCTTGTAACGGGGCTATCAGGGTCTGAGGGTTCAGGATCGAAAAAGTAGATCCTAGACTCTAACCGCTAAGCCCTAAACCCCAGACCTTAAACCTGAACCCCCAAGCCTTGAACCCGAGACACTAAACCGGAAGCCCTGAGCCCGAAACCCTGAACCCCTAAACCCCTAAACCCTAAACCCTAAACCCTAAACCCTAAACCCTAAACCCTAAACCCTAACACGTCTCAGGACTTTCTCCTGATCGTGCTTCGCGATCTTCTCCCAAAACGGCCGAATCTCAGGTTCAGGGCCCAGGATTCCTTGTAAGAGGATTCCTCCTAAACCCGAAACTTTACACCCTAAGCCCTAAACCTTAA